TAGGCGAAGCAGTGGTCGTTGTAGCTGCGCTAGGTGATAAAATCTCTTTTTTCTTTTCTCTTCCGAGTATATTTTTTTTATTTTATATGTGTGTGTGTATGAGAAAGAAAGAGAGAGAGAGAGAGAGAGAGAGAGAGAGAGAGAGAGAGAGAGAGAGAGAGAGAGAAAAAAAAAAAAAAGGAAAGAAAAAGAGAAACAAAAAAATCACGAAATAGAGGGAGAAAGAGAAGAGGAAAAAAAACGGAGAGAAAAGGCGGAAGGGAGAGACAGAGAACGAAGGCGGGTGAAGACACCTTGCTATGCCTACTTAGTTTCTTCTTTGCCTTCTATGGGCAACTGACGCCAAATCACGTGGCCAGTTTTGTACGTGACTGAAAAAATGACTCTCTTTGCCTTTTCTGACGTGTCGCTTGTCCAGATTCATGGACAGGTTGCCCTGTACATGTGTGGATTAGACAACCTCGATAGATGTCCTTCACAAGTGGTCTCACCACATAGAAAATATACAAGAAAGCAAAGGTGTTCCTACCTTTTCGAGTAGGAAGAGAGACATAGAAAGAGAGAGAAAAGAAGGAGAGAAAGAAAGACAGAAAGATGTAGGAGGGGGTCAATGAAGATATCGCACTTTCTTATTTCTTTGACAAAGCAGTGGGCTGTATAGCTGCGCTGGCCCGCAGGGTGATAAAATATCTTTTTCCTTTTCTCTTTCGAATTTTTTATTTATTTTAATACGTGTGTGCGTGTGCGGGAAGGATTTAAAGGAAAGAGAGAGAGAGAGAAAGACAGACAGAGATAGAGAAACAAAGAGAGCACGAGATGGAGAGAAAAAAAACAGAAGAATACCCAAACCGGTCATCAATGCCTCCATCTAAGCTTACCAAACCGAAACTCCCCCGCATACACATGCTCTTCCACACACAACATCAAAACTCAACAAGTAAGCATAGGCCTTACATGTAAAGTCAGTTGGTTACAATCGTATTAAGAAAACACAGCAAACAAAACAACTGGAAAAAAAAACGTGTGTGTGAAGGAAAGGGAGAAAGATAGAAAAAGAGAAAAAGGGGGGAAAAAATGATGAGGGTGTAGAAGAAAAGACGTATTTGCGTCTATCTCCCTTGTGTATCTGTGTGTGCTGAGGCACGTGGGCTTTTGTGTGTCTCTGTATGTGTGTGTATGTGTGTGAGAGGGAGGGTGAGAGATAGAGAAAGAGGGGGAAAAAAAACGAGAATGGGCAAGAAAGGACGATTGCAAAAAAGTCGGCAAAAGGAAACGAGAGAGAGAGAGAGAGAGAGAGAGAGAGAGAGAGAGAGAGAGAGAGAGAAAGAAAGAAAGAAAGAAAGAAAGAAAGAGAGGAGAAAGAGAGGAAGAGAGACAGAAAGATGAGGGGGTAAATGAAGATATCGCACGTTCTTATCTGTTTGATAAAGCAATGTGTGTGTGTGTGCGTGTGAGTGTGTGTGTGTGTGAGAGAGAGAGAGAGAGAGAGAGAGAGAGAGAGAGAAAGGGAAAGAAAGACAAGGAGAACACGAAATAGAGGGCGAAAGAAGAGGAAAGAAACGAGGAGAAAGGGAGGAAGGGAGAGTCAGAGAAAGAAGGCAGGGGGGGGACACTGTGCTAAGCTATCTGTTATCTAACGCCGACATATGCTACTTAGTTTCTTCTTTGCCTTCTGTGGGCAGCTGTCGCCAAATAACAATTGTAACTCTGACATGTGCTACTTAGTTTCTTCTTTGCCTTCTATGGGCAGCTGGCGCCAAATCACAATCAACGTGACCAGCCTTGTACGTGACTGAAAAAATATCTCTCTTTGCCTTTTCTGTTATGTCCCCTGTCCGGATTCGTAGACAGGTTGCTCAGTACATGTCTGGATCAGACAACCTCGAAAAATGTTTTTCCCAGGTAGCCTCGCCATATAGAAAATACACAGGAAACCAAAGGTGTTCCAGCCTTTTCAAGTAGATAGCATACCTTGACCCTCTCATTCTGAGCACTGTCAAGCATAGCTATCACCTCCTGTGCAACCGCTAATTCCATAGCTAACTTCTTCTCATTAACTTGACTCTTGGCTGTCAGTTTCCTTTGCTCAGCGAGGTCCTTGTTGTATGTACGTATGCATGTGCGCGTGTGTGTGGGTACTATGCGTGTGTGCGAGAAAGAGGGAGAGAGATAGAAAAAGAGAGGGAGAAAAACGACGAGGACGAATAAGAAAGGACGATTACAGAAAAACCAGCAAAAGGAAACGACAGAAAGAGAGAGAAAGAGAGCGAGAGAGCGAGAGAGCGAGAGAGAGAGAGAGAGAGAGAGAGAGAGAGAGAGAGAGAGAGAGAGAGAGAGAGAGAGAGA